GTGACAGCTCTTTGGATCTCATCTTGAGAGTTGACAGCAACAGATTCCAAATGCAAATAGCACACTTGAAATGAACTCTGGACCTTTTATCTGCTCATTGTAATTGGGATGAGGGAATAACACACACCTGGCCATGGAACAGCTGAGAAGCCAATTGTCCCATTACTTTTGGTCCCTTAACAAGTGGGAGGCACATATGCAACTGTGTCGAAGTCCCAGTATTTATGGACCTGACTGTAGTTTTCAGCTTTTTAATCTTTAAAAAAAAATCTTATTTTTTTATGCAGCTTCTTGAGACTAGGAGTAATCTTTTCATTCAGTATCTTGGTATACACTTGCATTCACCATGCTATCTATAAATGGCATGTCTCCTATACCTTTTGCACCCATACAGATCCATGCAGCACTCTCTCACCTCCATGTTTCACAGGCAGCACCTGTCTGAACCAAACTCATATATATTAGTTTCAACTGACTGCCAGTGTTCATCAGTTTACTGTATTTATTTTTTATGTTCTAAGCTTAATATTGCAGTTTTGTGTGGTATTGTGAGCTGTGGTTTTCTTTTGGACATCACCCATAGTATCAAGGATTTCCACTGTGTCTTCTCCCAGTCACTGCTGTAATGCTGTTTCAGCATATGTTCAGTAGCTACTGATGCTATTCTACCTTCTCCCATCTTTGTTAAGTCTCGCTCTCTGGTTTCTTACTTGTTCACACAGTTTCGTACTAACGGAGCCATGTTGCATTAGACAGAACACAGGCCAACAATGAATGCTGTGGCAGACATCTGTAGCAGTGATAACAGGTAAACTGACTTTTGTCACTGTTTTGACAGGTGTACTCACTTTTTATGTACTGAGGTTGTAGGTCAGGGCCCGTATTTTAACTAACCAGTTTGTTTTTAATTATACATTACAGAACTCTAACTTAAAATATTGCAATTGTTTTAAGATGGCACAATTATTTAACATTCTAGTCATATTGCACAGGACTGTACCCTGTTTTGTTATGTACTGTAGTAGTAATAGTAGAAGTAGTAGTTGTAGTATGAGATATTTGAATTATTTTTATAAAAAAATCTTCCACATGGTGAAAAGAGCTACCATAGTTACATGCACTGGTCAATAGTATGTCATAGAGATGATGTATTTTTGTAGGCCAACCTGGACGTTAGGATCGCCCTGGTTCCCTTGACAAAAAGCCATTGGAATTTTTCCATAGGTTTTTGGATTACTGCAGAAAACAAACAGTTTATGACACGCTTTGTTCAGCAAGCTACTTTTCACAAGTGAACACCACTTTATGATTTCTGAATCCTAAATACGATTGCCAGAAATAAAACGCTATTGTTAGGCTATAAACAAGCTGACCACAACTTTAACATCAACACCACGGCTTCCAACTTGCAATTTGATTTCTAGCACTTATGTCTTCTACAAAATCCCTTCCTCTTAGTGTGACCTGACCTAGATAGTGATCATGGCTGTATCAGTAATAATAGTTTGCAAGTGCATGAGTTAAAAAACAATGAAGCTGTAATCTCTGTGATGATGTGTAAATAGATATTTGAATTATTTTTATAAAAAAATCTTCCACATGGTGAAAAGAGCTACCATAGTTACATGCACTGGTCAATAGTATGTCATAGAGATGATGTATTTTTGTAGGCCAACCTGGACGTTAGGATCGCCCTGGTTCCCTTGACAAAAAGCCATTGGAATTTTTCCATAGGTTTTTGGATTACTGCAGAAAACAAACAGTTTATGACACGCTTTGTTCAGCAAGCTACTTTTCACAAGTGAACACCACTTTATGATTTCTGAATCCTAAATACGATTGCCAGAAATAAAACGCTATTGTTAGGCTATAAACAAGCTGACCACAACTTTAACATCACCACCACGGCTTCCAACTTGCAATTTGATTTCTAGCACTTATGTCTTCTACAAAATCCCTTCCTCTTAGTGTGACCTGACCTAGATAGTGATCATGGC